GGTCGCCGGTCGCCAGATGAGAAATGGAGAAGAGGAGCGCCGGATTGAACTGAAGAAGAAGAGGAGAACTGCTGGAGAACTGGGAAGAAGAAACAGAACGCGGCGGCTGTCTTTCTTTCTATTGATTATGGTTTTGACATTTTAACTTCGTTTTTTTTGCTAATACCGTAATACGACGACGCTTTCTTTCAATTATCCTGCCCCCGGTTAGACCAAAACCGGATGGTATTTCGGATTAAACCGTTTAAACCGCCCGGCGCGATATTATGCACCCAAACACGCTACCGTTTTGTTCGTGCTCCGGTTTCTGGTTTTACCGGTTCAACCGGCCGGTACGATCCGGTTTCCTTTACCATGCTGCGACTACGGCAACGGCGGTGAATTAGTTCCATAATTATCGACGGTTTGAAGCATCTGAAGGAAATGTCTGCTGGGTCGGAGAAAGTGGTTTGGGAATTTTGCTTCGAGCTATCTTGGAAGCTTCAAAACAAGAACGAGGCAAAGAAAATGGGATAGATCGATTTTGTTTTGGAGGAAAGATCATTTTGTTTTGATTTTGGAAACCTTTAAAATCGCCAAGAAGCCCAGTCGTCGGAGAAAAAAAAACAGAGCAGATTAAGAGAGATAGAGAGGAAGCCTAGTCCCTTTCTGGTTTTGTTATTTTAATTTTTCTTTAATTTTTTTATAATCCACGTCGGTTGGTGGGGTAAATTAATCGCTAACTCATCTTATTCCGCTAGTTCAGTCATACCGTCAATTGACACCGTTAACAAAATGGATGAAATTGGCTATTTTGTATTTTCGGATAGTTATGGCTATATTTGTCACAAGTGTAAAAGTTATTATTATACAAGTGTATTTTGCCTTTAATTAATAATTTAATTTTTATAAGAGGACACCCTATATGAAATTCTGGTCTTCCCCACTACGTATAGAGCTGTCAAAATGTAACCCGACCCGAGTAACCCGCCCGATCAACCCGACCCGCACCCACCCGCAACCCGATTTGACTAAAAGTCAATGACCCGTAACCCGACTGACCTGCAACCCGACCAACCCGCAACCCGATCGACCCACAACCCGATGAACCCACAATCCGACCAACCGCAACCCGACCAACCCGAACCCGTAACCCGACCAACCCGCAGCTCGACTATAATAGAAGGAATTCGATGAAGATAACCAAAGTTGACATTTGAAATTCTAGATCACTAAAGTCTGATCATTACATCATCAATTATTGACTTAGTATAATAATATACATCATCAACCTATTAACGCATATAATATCATCAAATATTTATTTAGATACATCATCAACCTAATAGTGCACATAACATTATAAAATATTAATTTAGCATAATAAGATAATTATAAGATTTAAAATCCAAATATCATGGTCCTGTCATAAAAAAGACTAATATTAGTTCACAAAAGTCTGACCATAACAAGAATACATGACTCATAATAGTTCATATTGCACTACAGGAAAACAGGTTTCTACACACGGTATCTTATTCACGGTAATTTTTCCCGTATTAGAAAGTATATTAATAACCACGGGAAAAATTTCATGTATTTAGTTGTATGTTTCCAATCACGGGGAATTATTTATCAGTTTTTTAGTCTTCATTTTCCGTGATTAATACTTAGTCACGGTAATTCGTGTGAACTTTTAAGAATTTTTATATAAATTATTTCTTTAATTTTATGATAGATATTTTTTTTTTTTTTTGCTTAAGATGTATTTTGGTTCCAAATTGTCATTTTGGTAGAATTGGCTCCAAATTTTCATTTGCTCCAGCGGCAACGTAACCGCCTCTTTTCTAAAATTTGGGCCGCCAAGCGCAAAAAGAGACTTTGGTTCCAAATATTCTTTGGTATTTGGCTCCAAAATTTTCATTTTTGGTAGAATTGGCTCCAAGTTTTTATTTGCTCCAGCGGCAAAATAGCTGCCTCTTTCAAAAAATTTGGCCACAATGCGCAAAAAAAGGAAAAATCTTAGCTCTCAAAGATTTTGGCCCGCAAGCCTCCAAATTCCAAACACACACTCGCTCTTTCTCTCTCTCTTTCTCCCTTCCCTGTACCTATCCTCAGCTCACAATGATGATTTTATTGGTCTTGAAGATTTGAGAGTTTTGGTATTTAAGCTAGTTTAAAAATCTTGTATTAGCATGATGATTTGGATAATTCTAGATGATTTCAATTGGCTGGTGTTCATGCTACAAGAAAGATTATTTTCAATTGTGTTGATATTTGTTTTATTGACACTAATCTTATAACTTTGAGTAGTGATTCCTTTTTTTTTTTTTACAAGTATTGTGCTAGCTTCGTATAGTTACGATTTACGACTTACTAGTAATCACTAAAACTCACGCGATGTTCTGGTCCGTAAAACCCGCAACCCGAACCACCCGACCCTGCAACCCGATTAACCCACACCCAATTGACCCGTAACCCGATTGGCCCGCAACCCGATTGGCTCGCACACCCGATTGACCCGCGACCCGATTGACCCGTAACCTGAGTAACCCGCAACCCGATCAGCCCGAACCCGATGAACCCAGCCCGACCCGCCCGATTGACACCTCTAACTGTGAATATGTGAACCCATTAATTTCCTAATGATTAGAGACACTTTAGAGTGCAGAGAATATGTGAAGTTGTGAACCAAAATAAATAGAGTAAATAAAATTTGACGGGTAGGGTTCAAAGACTTTGCCATTTACTTTTGAACTAGTTTTAGTAATGGCTAAACTAGATTCTGTCTATTTACGTAAAGGGATGGTTCCGAGTTTTCTTTCCTTTTATGGCCCCTCCCTTCTAAATCTGTTTTTGTATTTTGGTTGTTTATTCCCTTTGCTTTTGTATCTTCCAAATAATGGTTGAACTTATAAATGTGTTGATTATATATACAAACTAACTTGATATTGAGATGTGAATGTCAACTGTATTTTTGCATAGTGGGTTTAGAGGTTATTAGGGTTAATTATTTTTATTTTATATATTACGTACAATTCCCTAAATACCCTTATTAACTATTAACGTTATAACTTGCTTACTAACTAGTACCTAACACTCATCCAGCCAATATGAATGCTTTAATATCCTCCTTGAAGAATGAGGATTAAGGACATGAACTTAAGACTTTGGGTTGGATCCACCAGGCTTTTTTCACCTTCTTTCCCAAACAAGAAAAGGCTTCCTTTACTTCTATACTATATCGTTTTAAAATAATAAAAGGTCTTAATCACGCACGATTCAGTGGAACAGTGTAATAAAATATTGGGCTAATACCACTAGGAAACCCGAACTATTAAGAATGTGTCATTTGTGTCCTAAAGTATTTGATATGACATTTGTGTCCTAAACTATTTTTCTGATAGAGTTGACTAGTGTTGACCGTTAGTTTTTAACAGAAAAATATCAATCTCTCAATACAAATTATCCATATATAAAACACCATTCTAGAAAATTTAAGCAAATTACAAATTAACTATACAAATTGTTCAACACCAATATAGAAAACACTCAAGAAAATTGAAGCAAATCACAAATTATCCCTAAATAATATGTTTAATTGAAAGCTTCTTTCTTTCAATTAAGTTTCTTTACTCTCCACTCCATAAAATCAACTTCATTCTACACAATTAAAAAGAAAAAAATTAGACATGTCTCCACAAACATAAATAAGAATAGTTTGTTTAGAATATTAAATATACCGAAAAAATTAATTATATGGGTGGGCGGGCACCCACGGGCCGGGTTTACCTAAACCAACCCAACCCGATGAATAGTGAACGGGTTTTAAACCCAAACCCGGCCCAAAACCCGTCAACACGGATTTTTACCCGTGTTGACCGGGTTTGGGTCGGATGGGTATCCGTGAGTTCGGGTTTTGTTGCCATCCCTAGCCGTCATTGTCGGCGAAACCTAGAGAACCTATTCTTGCCATGGGGGTGTGCAATCGACGAAGACCAAAGAGTCGCTCAACTCAACCCCCGCTCTTTCTCACTCTCCCTTCAACCCTCGCTCAGAGAATCCAGCAGCGAGACCGCCCATAGAAGTGATGATGTCGACGCGTCCAGCGCCGCGAATAGGAAATCGAAGAGGTGGCCACCAATCTCGACGTCGCTGGGTGCGACGGCTCAGGATCTCAAGCTCCTCGTCGCCAGCCTTCATCTTGCCTTTGCACTGCCCGGCGCAATCGGCGAGCGTGTTGACCAACCGGTCAACGGCGCGAATCGCCTTTCTGAACAAAGAAGCTGGCGGAGGGAGGAGAAGCAGTTGGGCTGCTCGCGGCTGAATCAGTTCACCGCCGTCAGCGTGAAGGTCCTGTTCTTGGCGACGGAGTTTGAGGCTTGGCGGAGGGAGTGAATTTGGGGCGGGAGGTCCTGTTCTTCTCGATCCACGCTTCTCTGCTCTTCCAGATCTGGGGACCATCAAAATAGGGGACGATTGGAGTTAAGCGAGAATGGAAAATTGTTGTGGTGGTGGTTAGGTGAGCGTCGATGGACTGAGGCTTGGCGGAGGAAGTGAATTTGGGTCGGAGGAGAGGTAGTGCTTATTGCGTCGCGGCAGTGAGATTTTTATTTGAAGGGTTTGCGGTGTAGTTAGAGATTTTTGTTTTTGGTGAGACGGTGGAGTTAGATGATGAGGGTGGGTTTATTATTGTTTTATATAATATAATTTTTCTTATTTTAATTAATCTTAAATTTATAATAATCTGACGTGGCATCTATGTGGCTGTTTGATTTTTGTCACATCAACAAAAGTCAACATCATTTTGACCACCATCTGGTCAACCGTTAACTTTAACGGTCAACAAAATCGCCAGGACATAAATGACGCACAATTATAATAGATTGGGACACAAATGTCATATTGCATACTTTAGGACACAAATGACACATTCTTAATAGTTCGATTTTTCTAGTGGTATTAGCCCTAAAATATTATGGCAAAGAGAAAGAAAGAGTGACGCAAGTAACGGTGCAGGGGGATAGAGAGAAATCATAGAACATAACGGGGGACAAGACAATCCACCCAGAGCAGAACTTGACGTATGTATGACGTCGAGTAGTACCCCGTTTCCTCGTTGAGAACAACGTTCCCCCTCCGCACGTCCAATGGCGGCTTCTCTTTTTCATTATTGATTGACGACTTTCCTCTCTTTCGATTTTCCCTGCAGTTTTTCAGAATGCACATTGATTGGTTTTGCTCATTTTTCTTTCGATTGTTCAAAACCCTCATCATGGCTTGGCGGCCGTACGTACCAAGATTGCATTCACAGGACAAGATTTGCGACAAACAATGGTCCCCACCTCCGTTACATAATCACTTGACTCCTTGCTTCCCACTGTAGTTAAGTGCTTTCTTTCTATTGGTTGGCAATGGAAAAATTGCACTATCATTGCTGCTCTTTTCGTCTCTACAATACCATAATTAACATAACATGTCAAGATTATGCTTCCCAAGATAAATAATAACACCAAAAGTAAAGCAAACGGTGAAAAGTTCAGCAAAACTAATTTTAATTTTTACTCCATATATTGAAATCTCCAAATTAGTAGTGGACAATCAGGGCGAAAAGTGAGAACTAAAGCCTCAAATGAAACCAATCAAGAAACTTCCCTGTATCATTTGTTTCTTCACTCACCCAAGCAACCCTCTTGTTCGTTGCTAAACTAACAAAAACAGGACAAACAATACAATGGCAAATGACCTAACAAGGCACAATAATTTGAAGCAAGTCAATCTCTAACAACATATGTTTGCCGGTCTTTGGAGTCAAGCTGTTGTCCGTCTATTGATGTCACTCTGGTGGCTGTGCGTTACTACGGCCCTAATGGAATGCAGCAGTTTCGTCGGCAAAGTGTTGGAGCAAGCTCTCTATGCTCATCACCGAATGATCTGCAATGTCTCTGACCCGCACACTCACCTGCATTACCACACTAGTTCGTTAGGTCGTCGACAGCCAAACAAGCAAATGCCTCACAAGTGACGTTCAGTTCTGAGCTCTCATCATTTATGAATATATATGTAATTTGAGAGCAGCTGGAGTTGAAGAACCACAAAATATTAAGTACACCGATCTGGACAGTGGCAGCAGTAGAATTGTACCTGGCCTGTGTTGGCTTCCTCTTCGCCGACAACTAATATGTAGTTGTACTGTGCTAGTTGGGCTTCTCTTACCTGGATCAATCCAAAAAATCAATTTGAGTAAATATATGCATGTACACCTATCTCAATAGGGTAACATGGGATTATAGCATAGAAGCTGCATGCGAACCTTTTTCTGGATCTTCCTGTCTGTTATATCAGCATCCGCATAATATCCAGCTTGATGAATCCTATCTCGTACCTGTAATTCAAGCCAGAATACGTCATTATCTCTGCTAAGCTTAGGTTGACGATGGAGAACAGATTAACAAGATGATAAAAACACAGGACAGAGGATCAAACTCCATGTATACTATCGCAAATTTCAAAAGATAGCCCTTGGAAATTTATAATAAGCACTGTAATAGAAGTCTGGGCAAGAGAGAAACTGAGAATGAACAACAGCATATGAAGAGAATCTGTAGCTAACTTGTTTTGCGTAGTCCACCGATTTGGCAGACACGGGACAGACAATTGCTTGACGAGGGCTAAGCCAGAAAGGCCACTTCCCCTTGTAATGCTCCAATAGTATAGCAAACATACGTTCCACAGATCCCAGGATTGCTCTATGTATCATAACTGGCCTTTCTAACTTGGTTTCATCCTCAGCAGAGAACTCCAACTTGAAACGATCTGGAAGCTGGAAGTCAAGCTGCAACCGACATCCATAACCAATCATGAGACTAAATTCAGCAATGCACCTTTGAAGCAAAGAAATCAAAACAGCAGAGGAAAATCATCTCAACCTGTAATGTGGCACACTGGAATTTCCTGTTCAATGCATCAGATACACTAATATCTATCTTAGGACCATAAAAAGCACCATCGCCTTCATTTATCTGTAAGTACAAGAAGTATTCATTAATTCAAGAGACCGCTTGAGATCTATTCTTTGGTCTGTGGAGTTGCCCTGCAAAATAACAAGCATCAAATAACATCAGAATATCCCTAACGTGAAGAACAGCACATACCTGCCACGCCTTCCCAAATTCATTCAATGCTTCTGTCAGAGCAGCCTCAGCTTTATCCCATGTTTCTACCTCCCCTAGAAATTGCTCTGGTCTCTGTCATATAAATAAAATTACAACATAAATCATAAGGAGTCACCCCTTAAACCCCTTACAAGCATGTGATTAGTAGATGAAAATATTAGATGCTCTGTGAACGCATCCAACCAATCCACCTCCACTGAAAAGCAATAGAAATCCTAACAAAGAATATAAACTTGCAAAATGGTAGATAGGAAAGAGTGCTGAATATTTCATAGGAATAAAAACGAGCATATGGCCCTGAACATGCATATAGAATAATCTTGATCTCACGGCACATACTGCATATAAAGCAGCATTAAATCTAAAGTGCTGTATATTAAACTCATCTTGCCTCAACTAAGAAACACATGATCAATGAGATCAACCACAAGTATGCCCAGCTAAGAATACTGAACCACATTCATGATAGAGCAAGAAAATTGATTTCTTCCCAAAATTTGAGCAAAATTCTCTCCATATTAGGAATTTTGACTAATCAAAAAGAAATATCATACCGTAGATAGCTTCAGCTCATAAGTGAATCCAAATATTTTATATGCATAATCAATGAAGTCCAGGACACCTCTCACTTCATCTTTTATCTGGAAAAAATGAGACTGTATCATTCAGCATATCTTCACACCTGTACGTACTTCATTATGTAAAGTGTAAACAGAACAGTTGGGCATAAGATTAGAAAAATCACCTGGTCCTCTCTGCAGAAGATATGAGCATCATCCTGTACAGAAAAGAAATGCTTGACTTTAACACAACAAAATGAAAAAGACGTATATACATAAGAGAAATGAGAAACAAAGAAATACTCATCAGAATAGACAGGCCAAAGAACTAGAAAGTTCATCGACAACTATCAATACATCAACAATAACATAAAGAAGTTCTAACCGAAAATGAACTTCTAAATCCGTTAATCAAAGTCTAACGCAACTAGTAATAACAGCTAGTTGCCACTGTAGGCACCCATTTTATTGACTGGCTATGAAACATGTAGTGCCTGGCCCTTATGTCAAACAGTAAAACATTTCTTATAACCACCTGTTGAAACCTTCGGACGCGAGTCAACCCTGTGAGTGCACCACTAGCCTCGTTGCGATGCAGGGCACCAAAATCCGCCATACGGATAGGCAGTTCTGCAAAACCACAATAAATCTAAGAAATCAAAAAATGAGACCTCAAAAGACAAAGTATAAAGCAAGAATCTCAGAATCATTATCACAGACAACAGACTACATATTGAAGATTCATTGAAGAAGCAAGTGACCCTATGAGGGAATGGCAATAGATGAAACCAAAATCACCTCTGTAAGATCGAACTCTATACTGGAACATCAAACAATGCCCGGGACAATTCATAGGTTTCAGCCCAAATTCTTGCTTTTCAATCTGCAACAAAAGAAATTATCAACTGGAAATCATATCTTTGAGAAGTATGCTATGACTAATTGCATTGAAGTATGAAGCAATGCAATATTTCACAGAAACACATTTTAAACTCTTTTTTTTCTTGGCAAAACAAATTGGGATCAGTTAAAGCACAACTTTCCGCAACACCCACATGAATTCCTAGATAAACAGCATCCTATCTCTAACCCCCTCAGAGAAATAAGAACATAATGCCTGTTCACAAGAGTCTAGACTAACACTGAGGAAGCCATGTCAACTGAAATGCATACTAAATAAGAGTTGAGTTGCTAATGTACTCACATTAAGAAGAAACATGTTATCCCTGTAATTTGCAGCATGCCCAGATGTCTCCCAGAGTCTCATGTTATACATATTTGGTGTTTTGACCTGCCAATTTTAGTGAAATATGAGCAAGTATTTGTCAACGTGAGCTTACTTGAACATGCTCTAACTACACAGCATACCTCCTCATAACCCCTCTGGATATACTGAGATTTTATGAACCCCATTAGTTTGTTGTAAATCCGTGTCCCATGAGGAAGGAAGAACCAACTTCCAGGGCTGAGAAACCACCGAACATGAAACAAAATGACATTTTGATATGATCGATGAAAATAAATCCATAAAGGGAAAACTGTGCTCTACCTCAATGGATGACAAAAGAAAAGTTCCTGCTTTGTCCCCAACAATCTGTGGTCATACTTCTTTGCTTCTTCCAGGTTTTTAAGATACTCCTGGTAGAAAAGATGGCATTCAAGAATTAGAATAATTGTTAAACCCAACCAGCAGGACATTGTACAATGATGCAATGGCACCAAATACCCATTAACAGAAGTCAAAAGGAAGAAAAAAAATACCTTCAGACGCTTCTGGTCAGGGTATGATATTCCATAGACCCTCTGCAAACTTTCACGGTCTTTGTTCCCCCTCCAGTAGGCAGAAGAAGCCTGCACAAATTCCAAACATTAAGACCATACCTCCCTGTTACGCAGATCAGGAACACAGCTGTATATAAGTAACAGGAGAATGCATCACAGGAGCCTCATAGGTACAGCAGCCTTTAGTTAAGAAGTCACCTTCAAGCATGCAAATGCCTTTACAAAGGATGTGTTTGGGATATGGGGACCACGGCACAGATCCACCAGCGGACCACATCTGTACACTGTAATAGTTTTGTCTGAAGGCAGGTCATTTATGATTTCAACCTAATTATTTAAAGACACCCAAAAAAGTGAATAAGCAAACACATGAACAGTCCCATGGTGAGAAAAAACCTTAACCACCATATTGTAAAATTACCTTAAAGTTGTTATCAGAGAAAATCTCAAGGGCCTCATCCCTGGTAACTTCAATGCGCTCAAAATCTTGTCCTTCCTAGAAAGAACTGGACGTCAGGCACTTGACTAATTTTCAGTGAATGATAATCAATATACAAGTACAAATGTGGAGTGGATTGGCATAACTGATACAAGATCTGACAGAGTGTTTGTCAAGGGGACAGAACACGATTATGGTAAATCAAGTTTTAGAAGAAACATGCTGAACAGGTAGTTTCAGCATTAACAAAAAGAAATTTGAGAGAGCTAACTGGTCTAGACAAACAGGAACATCGTTGGATAAATGTGGATGACGCAGCTAAACCCAGAGATAGATAACAACTATGCGAATAAAATTAGGAGAGTACCTTGACAGCTTTTGAGGCTGCAGCTTCAATTTGCTTGAAGTGTTCATCATTTAAACCTAATTCCCCATAGAACGCATCATAGTAGAATCCCTACAGCACCATGGTACACGCATAAGGAAGGTGACTCTGCTTGAACCAAAGTCACATAAACAGACTCACCGGGGAGAGAGAGATGATTGAAAAGAAACAGTAAGGTACAGAAGGAACTACTTTAGCCTAGAGCATACCTCCCCTCTGGTGGTACAAGGTCCAATGCAAAGCTTGCAACCATATGTTTGTTCCAGTGACTGCCAAAATCAAGAAGAACATCAGGTAACCAAAAAATCAAAATTTGGCATCTATACCTTGGCACCACTAAGCTGACATAGAAATTACAGAACGATGAAAATTCTGAAACCCGACAATACTCATACCACCATTACCCAGTATGCTTTCTATCATACTAAACTATCTACTAGTAGCCAGGCATTGCCACAATGAATATACATTTGCCAATAGTAAGAAGATCCCCCTCCGCTCCCACCCCCCTCCCCCCCCCCCCCCACCCCCCCCCAAAAAAAAAAATACTCATCCATCAAGGGACAGAACTATCTAAGCTGTAGTTCTCTTCGAGGCTTACGTGGGACACTTTCTAAACTTATTTTGTTTCGCACTCTTTCTAATCTTGTATGGCATTTACCTTCAAAAGAAAAGTAAAGGGTTTGGTATCCATGTCCAGTATTAAGGAATCTAATTAATAAGAAACTGTTTTTACTATAACCAGCTCTCGAGTCGCCCATTTAACAACACACTCTCATCTTCTTTTCTTGTAGAGGACAGTTGAAATATTATATGAACATTTATACACCTTGCCTAACTAAAGGCCGCGTTTCCACCAGAAGAATACATACTGGAATGGTGAAGCCATTCGGTTTCAACTGTAAACCTAAAACTTTTCCAGATAAGGAAGTGCATTTCAACAGAACCACCTCAATAGGGGTTGAACAAAAGCTAAATGTCAAATCCACCCATCTAAATCAAACATTGTCAGTCTAAGATAATTAAGTAATTAACTAACCTCGCCAAGAATGTGAGCGCTAGAGTGCCAAAAAGTATCACGCCCTTCATCACTATCGAAAGTAAACAATTTCAACTCGCAATCGCCTTCCAATGGCCTCTTCATATCCCACAATACTCCATTAACTTGAGAGATCAGCGCATTAGATGCCAAACTCTTGGAAATCTCCTTTGCAATGTCCAGCGGACTGGATGACCATCTCTTGCCTTCCTTCACTGTTCCATCCGGCAAAGTAACCCTAACAAGTAGAAAAATCCAGAACTAGGGTCAAACTCAGAACCACAAACAAAAGAAAAGAAAAGCAATCAAAACCTAACGCTCTTCAACTTTCCGCCCCACAATGTTTACCTGATAGGGTCATGAGGGAGGGAATCGAGATGGGACTTCTGCTGCGACTGGATCGCTTGGAAGCGCTGGATGCGCTTGGGAATCACTGCACCAAGGTACGCTTCATCTTTAGGATGCCCTCCGGGCGCAGCCATGGCGATTCTGGCGGAGGAAAGCGATGAGAAAGCGCGCAGGCGTGAAGCAGATTGCAGTTTCCAGAGGAGCGAAACCTGCATACAGTGAGCGAATTAGGGGGGACAGGGTTTAAGGGTTTTTCTTTTATACTACGACTATGAAAAGCCCCGCCGTCAAGCAAACCACGACACGGTGCGTGGGCGTCAAGAGTGTCACCTCTCTACTGGGCCTAAAGCAATGCAGTCAAAAGCGCGATTTTACCTAGAAGCAGGGCAAGATTCAGCCGGAGCTTCTCGCTTGATGATGGCGGCGCGGGGCTGGCGAGGAAGAAAAGATGATGGCGTCGCCGGGATGAGAGGAAGATGATGGGGTGGTGGTCTGGACGGAGAAGGCGGTGGCGGGGCTGCTGGAGGGAGAGGGAGATGGCGGCCGAGCAAAGGAGAGGTTTCTAGGGTACTACAATGGCAGAGAAGAGACGAGTCTTGTAGCCGTGGTGGAGACGAGTCCTTCAGCAGGTGAAGCGTCCTGCAGCGCCGGAGGAGGACGAATAAGATGCGGAAGAGGTGGCTGTTGGAGCTGGAGGAATTCGATTAGAGTTGATGTGAAGCTCCCTCTTCCCTCACAGTAGTTGATGTGCGCAGGGCAGGATGAGCGGCTGTTGCGTTTGAGATGGAGAAGCCAATTTAGCCATTTAGGTTTCTTTTCCATTCTCTCTCTACAATAGGGCCGCTATTTTATTTTTATTTTTTTCACGAGTCACCATAAAACGACGCCGCTTCTATGATAATTAAACCTTTCTAAACCTTGCGTGGAATTAGGGATGGCAATGGGTCGGGTTGGGTCGGGTTTTGCCAAACCAAAACCCAAACCCATGGGTTTATCTTTGAAAAAAACCCGGGGTAAAACTCATTGGGTTTGAAAAACTCAAACCCAACCCAACCCGTTGGGTATCCGCGGGTTCATGGGTACCCACGGGTTTTGTCGTAAAAAATTTACAATTACAAGTTCTTATCAAAATTAAAGTCAAATATCAATCTCTCAATACAAATTATCCATATATAAAACACCATTCTAGAAAAATCAAGCAAATCACAAATTAACTATACAAATTGTTCAACACCAATCTAGAAAACTCAAAAAAATTGAAGCAAATCACAACTTTTCCATAAATAACATGTTTAATTGAAAGCTTCTTCCTTTCAATTAAGTTACTTTACTCTCCACTCCATAACATCAACTTCATTCTACACAATTAAAAAGAAAAAATTAGACATGTCTCCACAAATATAAATAAGATTAGTTGTTGAGAATATTAAATATACCGAAAAAATTAATTATATGGGTGGGCGGGTACCCACGGGCCGAGTTTAGCTAAACCCAAACCCAACCCGTTGAATAGTGAACGGGTTTAAACCCAAACCCGGCCCAAAACCCGTCGACACGGATTTTACCCGCGTTGACCGGGTTGGGTCAGGTGGGTACCCGTGGGTTCGGGTTTTGTTGCCATCCCTACATGGAATCGTATAAAAGCGATGTGGAAACGCGTTTTTAATGTTTTTTTTTTACTGATTTTACTGATTTTATACCAACGTTTTTTTACGTTTTGAGTACCAAGCGATTCTAAGTAGGGTTGTAGGGATAAACAATCACATCTGCAAACCGACCATCTGATTAACCCGATCCAACTAACATGTATTTATCGCAAAAAGTAAGGTTTATGATTAGGTGAGTGTTTTTTTTTTTGTACAACTCGCCTCCTTTGGGTTGGGTTTGAATTTTGTATTACACAACCTGTAGAACCGGACCAAACTCGTGTTCCAACTATTTGTATGAGTTCGTATCCAAAAAATATTTATATCGTATATAGCCATTTCTATAAAAGAATTAAGTTATTTCGCAATGTTATTTTTCTCATGGTTTCCCTAATATAATGCATTCTCCGGCTTAAAGTTTAGAATTTTTTTTATACAACTATGATTCACCTAATCCTTTTCTTGTGTACAATTTTAATAGAATAACATATTATGGATGCGTTCTTTATAACCTCTTTAACCTATTTTGACAAAAGTCGTACAAAAAACTAGACAATGCTGAAGTAAATCACATTTTATTAAAATTCAAATAACATTTGTGCATTTTGATACATTTCACCTTGGTTTATTCGTTTGAAATTTTTATTAGTTATAAAATATTTTTATGGTGTAGAATAATTACATATTTTGTGTTGGTTGGGTTTTTACTTAAAAATATCATCAATTCGACCCAACCCAATTAGAAACAAACCGTAAGATTTTAATATTTTTGGGTGGGTTTGGATTTATTATTTCCCAAACCATAGTGCATGGGTCGGGTGATTAAAATGGATTAACCCGGACTACCCAACCCATGTACACTCGTAATTTTAAGTAGAAACTGATGCGTTCTTGTGGTCTAGATAGGTAGAAACAAACAATTTTACGCTTTAAAGCGCGATTTTCACTGCACCAAACGAAACCGTCCCAAATAGGCCTATTGGATTGGACTGCGCTTTTGGCCGCCCCACCAGAAGAATAAGACCGTTGATGAGCCTGCATTTTCTTATGTTTTGTGCTCGCAGTCTCTTTCTCCTTTTTCTAGCTGGGTTGTTTCGGTAATTAACAATAAACGGTTACAAAACTTTGCACTTTGTATAAAATAGTAATAAAATTTCAATTTGCACGATATATATGTTTAAACATGTAATAAAATGGTCAATATCTTCATTTTCATCCAAAACTCGGGTAAAATAGCTCGGGTACCACTAAAGTTTGAAAATTGGGAAAGCTATGCCACTTAAGTAAGAAATAGGGCATCGTGTGCCACTGAACTCTATTATATGTGCACTCGGTACCACTTAAGTTTACTGTTAAGTGCATTCCGTTAAAGTTGACAGAATATTCTTGGAATATTCCGTTTTCTAAATTTCAGAATTTGTCCTTCTACTTTTCTTATTGTAAAAAGTCTTTTGGACTTATGAAAAACTTGAATTTTTTATTGTTTAGTTAGAATCAATTATCATAATAAGTATTTTCAATTATCAATAATTGAATTATTCACTAAAGCAAATATATCCTATGAATTATGTCTCGGTATAAATAATCTAAAAATGTTATATTTAGTTCTCTTACATCATGTTGATGTTGTCTAATTTTCCATGTAAAATCTTCTAGTAATTCTCTAATATTATATTATAAATATTCCATATTAGTTAAATTTACTAATTATAATTCTCTTTCCTATAGCATTATCAAAAAAAATTCTCTTCCTTATAGTCATATTTTCTTTTATAGATTTGTTACCGAATGTTCATGCTTTTATAATTTACTTATTGCTTGGTTACTTTCCGTCTCATTTTGTTCTAAATATTTTTCAATTACTGGAATATATTTAAAAGTTTTGGGTACCAAAAGGTAATTAATATTTTGGGTTGGATGAAAAACTAGAGGGATGCACCTTTTGGCAACTTTAATGGTTCCCGATGCCCTATTTAAACTTTAGTGGTATGTCTACCACAATTCTCAAAATTAAATGGTACCCGAGGTATTTTACCCTCCAAAACTCTGTAAATTTTTCCCAGTCAGCGATGCACGTCACAAAAAAAATATTGATAAAAAACTTCACCTAACCATATAAATTAACCAAACTACCCAACCCACCAGAACGATTATACAGAGAGCGAACCATCATATGGAGTGATTCTAAAATAAAATATGAATTAAATGTTCAATCAGAACTCAATAGGATTTCGATTACTAACATGGAGGGAGGAGTTCTCGGAAAAAAATCCAAAACTACCACTGTTTAAAAAAAAATTACAAAAATACCACCCACTCCAAATAATTTCCAAAATTACCATCGTTTATTAAAAACCACGCCTCTAGGCAGCGTTTTACAATATAACCGCGCCTTGGAGGCGCGTTTTTAATTTTCAGAAAAAACCGCTTCTGGGACGCGCGGTTATAGGCTAACCCTACCACAGAACGCTTTAAGAGGGAGCGTTTAAATGTCGGCATTACAATCCGCCTCACAAAGGGGCGGTTTACAATGTCAGGACATAAACCGCTGCCCCAAGGCGCGGTTTGTGCCTGGTCACCCGACAGCCGACATGTCGGACATGTCGGCATGCAGGGGTAGGGCTGCTTGGCAGACGCAAAACCGCTCCCCCCTAGGGCTGGGAAAACAGTTGGCGGTTTGCGGTTAAACCGACAACCGCACTGAAATCGCGCGGTTATTGGTTAACCGCAAACCGCATATTTGGCCTATTTTGCGGTCGCGGTTGGAGATATGGCCTGTTTTGCGATTTGCGGTTTAACCGCAACCGAAATCGCAAATCCATATAACCGCAAAGCTAACCGCGAAACCAGACCCAGCTCATAATTCACCCCCAGCCCAGCCCATAATTGACCCCAGCCCAGCCAGCAGGACTGTGGCATTGTGCATTTGTGCTTGTGGATTGTGTTATTTGGATATGCAGACAGATGCAGGGGCTTGATGGAAGTGAAAATAGACAAAATAGTAGCTACTGTGTTTTTTTCCATGATTTTTTTGCGGTTAGTTCGCGGTTAATTGTCGGTTAGAGTGCTAACTGCGATTTCATATGGTGTTTCGGTTGTTGCGGTTTTCACAACCATAAACCGCGGTTCACCGCTAACCGCGTTCTGCGGTTTTTGGTTAACCGCTAACCGTTGCGGTCGCGGTCGCGGTTGGCCAATATGGGTGTTTTGCGGTTGCAGTTAACCGCAAATTGCGGTGCAGTTAACCGCAACCTCATCGTTTCCCACCCCTGTCCCCTCCCCCCCAAAAGCGGTTTTGCTGTAAAAATTTCCTATAAAAGGCTGTTTCGGAGAACTCAATTCTTCACACTTCCTTCTTAAAATTTCAGCTTTGCACCTTTAAATTATTTAGTTTTTGCGATTAACGTAAATTCGTAAGTTTGTTTCGTAATTACTTTTCATTGTCCTTTGTGATTTTATGTTAGTAACTTAATTACTTTTCATTGTCCTTTGTGATTTTATGTTAGTAACTTAATTACTTTTCATTGTCATTTGTGATTTTATGTTAGTAACTTGTATTACTTTTCATTGTCCATTGTGATGTTATGTTAGTAACTTGTATTACTTTTCATTGCAGATGGCATTCCAAAGGTTCACGCTTGGGTTGCGGTGGAATGGTTACACGGAAGAGACCGAAAAGGGTGTAAGTTACGTCGGTGGCAATTTTTATAAAATGAAGGTCCGTACGAGACCGATGCTTGAAGAGCTCCATCAAATGTGCACTCAGATTACCTGCATGGATGGCACTAGAAGAGTTGATCGAATGGTGTATCGATATCCAAACAAACATGACGGGTCGCTATGGAATGAGGAATTCCTCCTTACCACTCAGGAGGACGTTGATGCCATGGTCCAATTTTTGACCACCAATAAAATTAAGCAAGCGGAGATGTTTGTTTACACCGAGGCCGTCGAAGGCAGTGTAGGTCATTCTGGAGATGGCCAAACATCTGGTATCCACGGTGGGAGTGTATTATACGAAGATCATCCCCACCAGGATTTCCAAGACTCGAGTTGGAGGCAGGAGTATCATCATGGAACTGGAGGAAGTCATCAATCCTTCCCTTCATATGAAGAAGAAGCTCAACAGGCGGATTACAACCAACAAGCAGGCTACCAGTACCCACCCGAGTACAA